CATGCCCGCCAGCGCCACCTGCAGGCCGCTCGGGGACGCGGCGCGGCGCGGCCGGGAGGCGCCTCCAGCGGCGGCTCAGGCAGGGGTCGGAGGGTCGCCGAGAAGCGGGGCTGGAAGGGACCTCACGAGCCCGTCTCGTGCAGCCCCCTGCTCAAGGCAGGCTTGTCCCTGCCTGCGGCCTCCCCGGGAGGCTCCTGAAGCGCTGACTCCAGGGGAGTGGCTGGCAAGTTGCACTGGGGGAGCTGGAGCTGGAGCTGGAGCTGCTGCAGCAGGGGGGACAGGGTGTCCCCTGCAGCGAGGCTGAGACGCCTCTCCCTGCCTGGGGCTCGCCGTCAAGGCTGGGCCCGAGTCGTGGTATAACTGAGAGCCTTTCCGGGTGCTGCAATGAAGGGACACAGGCAGGCGCTCAGTTTGCTGCCTCCAGTCAGCACCAGCTGGGGACGGGGTGGGCGCAGGCACCCGACTCCATGGGCCAGGTTCTGTCCAGCATCCAAGTGCGGGCCTGCTCCGCGCTGCACACGCCTGTGAAAAGTTCACACGTGTCCTTTGGTCACATGCCTTCTACTTAGCATAAAGAAAACAAAAAGCAGTGAGGAGGAAGATCCACTTCCCTCTGGCATTAACCCAGGAAGGGTGAAACAGGCTCCAGCACCTATGACGTGTCTAGTATTTCAAATGCAGCCCCTTCCCACCCCCCCACCCCCCCATGATGAAAACACCCAATGTGGCTCAAAGGAGACAGAACTAAGCCCCTTGCCCACGGCCAGAGTGGAACAAGGGGTAATTTTACACCGCTACTATATATGCATCTCTGATTGCCTTTAAAGCTAGGGTTTACCTCGAGGGCACGCAACCTGGCAGTTTTACAGGTTCTAAATTTACTTCTGAACGGTGTGATTTGTGTGAATTTTTAAAAGGCCTTTTGCAGTCCTGCTGTTAAGTGACAATTTGGCACAGGTGAAACAAAGTCCTTCATACATTTGTGATGAGTTCATTCCAAGTGCTAAGGTTGACATCGGATTACAAACAGCTCTCAGGTAAGGGACAGGACTATTATAGGTGGGGCTATAAAAGCATAAAAGTTCCCATCATAAGAACCTGTTCTCATACCTTTGCCAAACTATAGCTGTGTTGGCTGGAATTTTCCATGACAGACTTCTGTCCTGGCCTGAATATTTATGGAAAAGTGAACCAAGATGATACAATTGTTTCACAGAATGAAGATAAAAAGAAATACATCACTGTGCCCAGGTTAAAAACATTCATCTGATCCTTTCCTTCATTCTTCTCTAACCCCTCCATGATGTGAAGCAAGAATTGAAATTGGGATGGTCTTTTAGTCAGGGAAGTACCATTTCCTGTCTAACAACAATCTGCCCAAATCTGGTCCAAGTTATAAGGGGGGAAAATTACAGGTTGTACATATTCAGTGGAGGCTGCTTAGATTTTTTAGTACCTAAATTTCTAGATGATTCTATCTGAACTGGGCAGCATGCTTCAAGCCATGGCTGAGAAGGATTTTCCCTACAGTTGCAGCTCTGGATGCTGCTGCCTATGCCAAATCCAGATAACTAAATGGAGAAGAGGGAGGCATCATCTCTTGTGCTCTCAAAGACACACACACACTGGGTGCATCTACACATGCAATTAATGCAAGTAAAAGCAATAAATGCAAAAGCAATCTGAGCTGAAGTAAACTGCTCTGGGTGCTGCATCTACACATGTGCCCAGGACAGCAGCAATGTGAGCTGGAGTGGAGCAGGCTCCAAGCTGGCTGGACCAACCAGATGTAATTTATGTCCACAGTCAGCTTCAGCACAATAAATTACTCCACCACAAAATACAACTGTCCCTGACTATCTTACCGCAGAGTTAATTAGTTTACTGCACCCTAATACCAGCGCATGTGTAGACGGTGACACTTTATTGTGGAGCTAATTAGTCCACTGTGCAGTAAAGCATACATGTAGATGCACCAAGGGCACATCTACATGTGCAATTAATGCACAGCAATAAACTCTGGTGCCAATTTATTGCTCCCAGGTGTCACATTTGCACATCAATGTGTGCAGCACATTGAGCTGGGTTGGAGCATCCCTAGCTGGCAAGGGACCATGGGGGGTCAGCCTGACAGCCTGAGGCTGCTTCCCCCCAGCTCAGTGTGTTGAGGAGGGGTTGGCTGGGGCACAAGTGTTCTTCAGTGTGGGGCTAGCCGGCAGGCAGATCCCATACTGAAGCACGCTCATGCCAGGCCTGTCAGCATCTACATGGGCGCTGCTGCAGAATAAAAACACACCATAAGATAGTACTTGTGTTTACAAGTACTAACCTGCTCTGGAGTCAATTAGTTTAGTCCATCCTAATAGCACTGCATGTGAAGATGCAGAGATATTTATTGCTGAGCTAATTAGGCAGCTGCAGTAAACGTCTGGTGTAGATGCACCCCCTCACTCACACTCACAGAATCAGCCTAATTGAAGTGCAGAAGGAAGTAGGTGGATGGAGGGAGGACAGGAGAAGTAGATTGTGACATGTTGCCTAGATAGAGGATTGAAGACTGGAAGAAAACTGGGACTGGGAGCTGGGATATGAACAGAATTTGAATGATGATACCAGGAACGAAGAGTGTTCCCAGGAGCCGGTAGGCTAGGAGTTGTTGAAGACCAGAATGGGAGGGAGAGACAGATTAGATGAGCAGCTGGATGGGAAAGCTACCTGAAAAATGGCACTAATGGTACTAAGGAATTGTGGGGGTTTGGGAATGGCTGAGGAAGGAGACTGGAAGTAGAGTGGGAGACTCAGAAAATTCAGAGGACCATGATTAGAGCATAAGCAAGGAGACTGGGACTTGCTAAATGAGGAAAGCAGGACTGGATGAGGAGCCAGGTAAGAAAAAAGATCAGAACAAGGTTTATATAAGGATGGGGCTGAAGGGGTTACACCTAGAAGAAACAGAAAGGAAAGCATGCCCGCTCAAACATGATGCCATCCACAGCCTGAGGTTCCTAACTCTCAGTGACCCATTGCTGTCAGCAAAGATGCACAAAACCCAACTGGCAAAGTATCTCACCCCACCCAGGTGGGTCCACAGAAATGAGGACAGCCTGCTACTGCCATCTGCTCCTTCCTTGGCTCAAATGACAGTGAATCTTAAGAAGCTAGTCCTGGGGATAACCCCTGAGGATGTCAATATGACACCTTATGATAGAGAGACTCTGTTTTTCAATTTGCACAGAAAAAAAAAACCTCTTCACTGAAAAAGCAAAGGGTAAAAGGAAGCTCCACAATTAAGATTGTCTGCACATTCAGGCCTGTTGTACATGCACTTAACTTCATGATCATATATTATTTTCCTATTGGGCCCCTGCTTAATTTAGTGCACAGAATAGGCCTGTTCTGGGGGGAGACATTTTTTCCACTGACTTCAGTGGGCTTTCAGACAGAGTCCTTTCTGAAGCTTTTCTTGTCATACATCCATTTGAAACATGTAAGCAAGGTAAGTCACTCTCCATAGCTAAGCATATTATGAAGTACCTTATATGAATGTTTTGATTTGACTGAATATGCATTCAGCCCAAGTAGTTTTCTTCTGCTGAGCCCACACTGGCATAGTACAGTCCTTCTACCAGCCCAGCCATCACCATTCCATGCACTTAACGGAGAGGTTGCAAAACAATGGAAGAACTTTGTGTCAGCTTCTCCACTGACTCTGAAAAGC